GATGTCTGGCACACAATGGGGGAAGTGGGGAAGAAAGGGCAGGAATGGATGTTGTAAGGGCATAGAAGAGTTGCATTAATCATGAAAACCTACACGCACACACACGCACATAGACACACACACCCCACCCCAAATGCCTGGTTTCTTTCTTTCTTTCTTTCTTTCTTTCTTTCTTTCTTTCTTTCTCTCTTTCTTTCTTCCTGACAGGATTTCACTTTGTGGCCCTGACTGGACTTTAACTTGTGGCAGCCCTCCTGCTTCTGCCTGCTAGGTGCTAGGATAACAGGCATGTACCACTAAATATCTGTTTTTAAGACTTCAGTGAAAAATTGAGGTGGGGAGCAAAGGAGCCCAAATGAGAGGCCGTGTAAAGAGACCGAATGGCTGCTGTCTGGTCACTGCTGTCTGACAGCAGAGCTCATATTTCACCCCAAATATTTCACCCCAAATGGATAGGAACCTTCTTTATTCATATGCCTGTATGAAATCTGTGACTTTTATACTCAATTTTAGAAATAGAGGTTTAATCAAAGTAGGCAGTAGCTTAGAGAAAAACTATTCTAGAAACATGGTAGAATCAGAATACAGCAAAAGCTATTATTTACTTTAGGCATCATTTTTTTCCGGGACCAGATGTTTGAAGTACAGTGAACAGACTTTTGATGGTGTTTCTCAATATGTTTGAGACATAAGTCCTCTAACAAATGCCAAGGGTACTCCGGGAAGGAGACTGATGCTTGCATGTGCATGACTTGTATAGTCCATTTAGTTGCTTTTATAAGAATGACTAGTGGGAGTCTTGGCTCCAGAAATTTGGGCAACTGATTTACTGAGAGAGAAAACGACAAAACTCAGAGTCCTTTATTTTTTATTTTATTTTATTTTAGAACTCATGGGGACAACCCAGGAAAAACTAAAACCAAATGGGGATGACAGGCAGCCAGCTCTCATTGTAGTCAACCCTACCAGATGTTTGTGAAATCCTGACAGAGAAAAGTAGGGCAAGCTGACAGATCAGTCAGCAGAACAATCCCTGCCTCTGAATTAATATTGTTCCAAATATTTGGAAGCAGTTCACCATTTCATTTTATCCAATTTAGGTCCCCAAAGATGTGCCTAATGATTTCAGTGAATGCAAATGACTGAAACCACCAGAAAACCACAGAAGCATGGGGGAATAATGATGCTAGATATTTCACACATATTATAATGAAGGAAATCTTTCTGGTGCAGGATACTGTACAAATATACAAATGTCTGTCCCTCTTTCCTGGGCGTCCATTTGAGTTTGACTCCTAGCAAGTTTTTGTCAACTTTGCTTCTAATGATGCCAGAACTGTGCTTGGACCTGAGCAGGGGATGTGTAAATATTGCTATGGTTTTTTTATCTTCCCTTGACTAGTGCTACTCCCAGAGGGAAGTAGATGCTTTATAATTAAAAAGCAACTTCAGTAAGACAAGGAGAGATCAAACTATGCAAAAAGAGGCTTCACTCTATGGGGTGTACTGGATTCGGTGTGAGTGCCCTCACTTTATGGAATGTACTGGATGAAGTGTGAGTGCCCTTGCTCCATGGGGTGTACTGGATGAAGTGTGAGAGTGCCCTCACTCTATGAGGTGTGAGCGACCTTGGTGTGGTTGCATGTGTCTAAGGAGCCACATCTCAGCCCCCGGACTTCTGCTTGGCTATCATTGTTCAGGTGTGCATTCAGGAGGAAATGTCTGTAGGCACAGCAGATGTGGGTTAGAGTCTACTGTGAATAAGTAAGATGAACCATGATGGAAAGTCATAGAAAACTCAAAGTGTAAGCCTTCCACCACCTAAGACAGCCATAAAGCATTCTTTTAAAAGTAAAGATCTAGAAGTTTTGTATCCAAGTAGTTACTATCTTCTAAATGTTAGGAGTGGGTGTATTTATTTCTCAAGCTTTATCTATTAAAACACTGCTTGGGCTGTTTTTAGATAAGCCCTGAGGGGTATTGTAACATCACTCTTTGCTTTTCAAAAGTAATCCATCCATTTCATCCTGCAGCTATTACACTAAATGTCACGTAGTTATTTCTGAAAATGTTGAATCTGCTCTTGAAGCAGGTGAGTCGTTATGGGCTGCCAGGAATGGGCATTCATAGCAAGCTTGCAGAAGACCATTGCCTACATTCTGTAGCTGAGAAGAACATTAAGATATTGATATGGTCAGTATTTGAACTCTGACCTATGTGACTACAAAAGCCCAAGCTCTTCCCATTGTGCCGTGTTGCTACTCCTTAAAAGCAGGCAGTTGGCTCCCCATGAACACATTAAAAATCAGTGCTTGGGTAAACTAGCACAGCCATTATGGAAATCACAACAGCATTCCCCTCAAACAAAAACAAAATAAATAGGGGTCTCCTATGATTAAGTTATACTCTTCCTAGATGTCTACCCAAAGGAATGTACGTTAACATACTTCAGAGTGGGATACACATCTGGATTTAACCATAGCATAATTTACAGTAGCTAAAATATGAAACCGTCCTGTATGTTCATCAACAGAAGAATGGATAAAGCAAATCTGGTACAGATATAGAATGAAGACTTATTCATCCATGAAGAACAGAATTATGGCATTTTTCAAGAAAATGAATAGACTTGGAGATTATCATAAGTAAAGTAAGCCAGACCCAGAAAGACAAATATTGAATGTTTTCTATCATATGTATAGTCTAGATTTAACTATGTATGTGTGACATGAAAGTAGAAGGGGACAACTGGGGAAAAGAAAAGGACTGCAGGGAGGGGGTACATGACAGGATACTGGGATATGAATGTAGACATAGTACATGCCATGCTTGAATGCAAATGTCATGTTGAAATCCATCACTTCATGTGATGAGTATACAGACACTGATAGCCTTTAAAGTGCTTTTCAAATGTAATCTCTGAGGAAGAATCTAGCAACACTTTGCACAACAATGGTTGACAGAACCTACTCACCTCCCCTTCCAATGGTAGTGAGGTTCATCTGAATGGAGAAGAATGGTTGCTTGTGACAACATATGCAGTCATGTCAGGACATGCAATGCTTTCCAAAGTGTGATCATGAAACCTTCTCACTGGAATCATCTCGGGCTGGTGGAGGGACCGGTGGCCCCTGAGCCACATGCTCTGGGCTGATGCCATGAGGATCTCCTGAATTCCCCAATTCCCTCCCAGCCAGATCACACTCTGGGCACTCAATCCCACTCAAGACTGTGATCAAGACAAGAGCATTGCTTTTCATCATGAAAGTCTGAGGTGTGTGTCTACCATTTGGCATATGGCCCCTTGATCACTAGGAAGAGAAGGCCATCCAGTGAGGATGCCTTCTTGGTCATTGTTTGTAGAGGAGTTACAGTAGGACATTTTTAGTTAATGTTTTTTCACTCAAAATTAAATGTCCATACAGGGCTGAGAATGTAGCTCCGTTAGTAAAGGTTTGACTAGCACACATAAGGGTCTAAATTTATCTCCAGCACCATATACATTGGGTATGGTGGTGCATGCCTGCAATCCTGGTATTTGGGAGGCAGAAGCAAGAGGATCAGAAATTCATAGTTAGGGCTTGAGAGATGGCTCAGTGGTTAAGATCTTGTAGATGATCAGGTTTCGATTCCCAGCACCCACATAGTGGCTTACAAGCATCCATAACTCCAGTTCCAGGGTATCTGATGCCCTCTTCTGACCTCCTTAGGTGCCAGGCATGTATGTGGTGCACATACATGTATGCAGGCAACACACTCATAGACATAATATAAAAATAAATAAATACTTCCTATAATGATGTTCAAGGTGATCCTTGACTAACTACATAGTGAGTCCCAGGCCAAGTTGGTCTATATGAGGCCCTGTCAAAGAAAAATAAAAGATAAAGGTAAAAATAAGACACTTATACTGATTCTGCTTCTTTTAGATAAAGTCTCACATTGTAGCCCAGGCTGGCCTTAGACTTGTAGTAATCCTTCTGTCTCAGCCACCTGAATATTGAAATTATAAGCATGTACCCATGTTTGCCAGAATGTTGTTTTTCTTTTATTATTCTTTTCTTTATTATTATCATTATTGTTATTATTAATTTTTCACTTATTTCCCATACCCACCACAGTTTCCTCTCCTTCTTCTCTCCCCTTCCCTCCCCCTAGCACCTTCTACCACTCCTCTCCATCCACTCTTCCTCCATCTCCATCCAGAAAGGGGCAGGCCTTCCATGGGAGTCAACAAAACATGGCAAGTTGAGGCAGGACCAAGCTCCTCCACCTGCATCAAGGCTGGGCAAGGCATCCCAGCATGAGGAATGGGTTCCCAAACGGCAGCTCAAGTACCAGGGAGAGGACCCGATTCCACTGCTAGGGGCTCCAAAAACAGACCAAGCTACACAATTGTCACACACGTGCAGAGAGCCTTGATCAGTCCCATGCAGGCTCCCTAGCTGTAGGTCCTGAGCCTGTGAACCCCCACAAGCTCAGGTCTCTATGGGTTTCCCTGTCATGACCTTGAACCCCCTTGGTTCGTACTATCCTTCCCCCCCTCTCTCTTCAACGGGGGGGGGGAGAGCCTTGATCAGTCCCATGCAGGCTCCCTAGCTGTAGGTCCTGAGCCTGTGAACCCCCACAAGCTCAGGTCTCTATGGGTTTCCCTGTCATGACCTTGAACCCCCTTGGTTCGTACTATCCTTCCCTCCCTCTCTCTTCAACGGGGGGGGGTGTTGTTTTTTTTTAATTTGAACATTTATATAAGGCTCTGCAAGTGTCGTCCCCTCTCTCTTCAACGGGGGGGGGGTGTTGTTGTTTTTTTTTAATTTGAACATTTATATAAGGCTCTGCAAGTGTCGTGCAGGCCCATAACTCTTCCCAGACAGCCAGGGAGTGGGCATTTTTCAGCAGCTTCTCCCAAAAGGCTTGAGTGTCCTTGAGCTTGAGCCCTTGTTTTTCAGTTTCATCTGTAGTGGGAAAGCCTATCATACAAACCTTCTGCTTCTTTCCAGGCTGGGGCTTCAGCATGGGGACCAATTACCACTTCCACAGCTGGAGAGTGTTTGTCATCGTCTGTGCTCTGCCTTGCACGGTGTCCATGGTAGCACTGAAGTTCATGCCAGAAAGCCCCAGGTTCTTGCTGGAGGTAAGTCTTCACCAACTATAGGAGTCCTGGCCTGATTCACTCAGTCCCTGGCTGTGTGCGGTCTCTTCACTGCTTGCTGCACACTTTCCCTTGCTTGTGACCTTGTTTGTCATTCGATTTGGTTCCCTTCCTCTTGGTGATAGTGGCACGTCAGGGACTGGAGCTCACAGTAAAACAGGCAGGGACCCTCCCTTAGCCTAGAAGTGTATTGAGGCACTCTCCTAGGTGGCCCCATGGTACCACTTCCTCACAGAGCCCTGAATAGGAGATCCTTCACGTTTTACATGCTGCCCGCCCCCCATGAGTGGCTCCAGTGAGTTCTTTGGTAAATCTTGTTACTGTCTCAGGGCCTCTTAGCTCTGCAGGGCCTCTACCCATCAGAAAGTTTCTGATGATCTTAGTGTTTTTCAACTCTGGAGTCTCTTGTACCTGCTCTGTTCAAGTGGTGGGAGCTGGCCTTGGGGGACAGCACTCAGTCTCACGCAGCCTCAGTCTCCAGATCAGCCTCCTCACTGAGTTTTGCAATGATGATTCTCATGTTGAGTTCCCTCTTGCATCCTGCTCAGTGATCACATGCAGCAGGCAGTTTTTAACCAGGGTCATTGCAGAGTGATACTAACATGTGCCATTTACACCTTGAAGTCACAACCTAGTTCTCCTTCCAATGCAGACTGGGGACTTGTTGTAGGCTGCCATAGTCCTCAACTATGGCTAATGGGTTCATGTCCAATGCTTCAGATGCAGAGCAATGTTTAGGGGCAAAGGGGTTTTCATCCAAATGAAAAGAAGGCATACGCAGCTGTGAACTTTTGTATCACTATGGTTGGATTTCCAGATGGGAAAACACGATGAAGCCTGGATGATTCTCAAGCAAGTCCATGACACCAACATGAGGGCTAAGGGGACCCCTGAGAAGGTGTTCACGGTGAGTGTGCTAGCTAGTACCAACAAGGCACTTTGTCACTGTGTGGTTTTGTGGAACATCAACGTCGTTGAAAGAAAAGTATTCATTTAATATGTTTTTTTTACTTTCATACTTGGAAGATCCCTTCATTAGAATTATTCTTTACATTGTGTGTGTATATGTGTGTGTGGGGGTGCATATGTGTGTGTGGCTGTGTGGGTACATATAGAGATCAGAGGTCAACCTTGACTATCTTCCATAGTCACTTTACACCTTATTTTATTTGTTTTTTGTTTGTAGACAGGGTCTATCTCTTTTTACATGGGTCCTGACAAGCAGCCTAGGCTAGATGGCCAACAGACATCAGGGATCCACCTGTTTTCACCCCCTTAGTTCTGGGACTGTAAGGACACACCTCCATACCCAGCTTTCTTACTGTGGGCTCTAGGGAGTCAAACTCAGGTCCCCGTGTATGCAGCAAGCACTCTACTGCCTACCATCCACCCCCTCCAGCCTTAGTCTTTGCTCTTTGGTGGTAGAAAAATCTTTCTAGATTTTTCCTTAGGTAATGTTATTAGAAAATTATAAGAGAAAAAAACTCAACTAGGGCTGGCAAGATGGGCAAAATGGTTCCATGGGTAGAGTTGCTTGCAAACAGCCCAATGACTCAAGTTCCATCATTTGATCCCACAGGGTGACAGGAGAGAACTGTCTCCTGAGAGTTACCCTCTGACTTTCACAAGTATGTATGCAGTCATACACACACATAGCATAGGCACTACGAGGCTGGAGATATAGCTGAGTGGTTAAGAGCAGTTGCTGTTCTTGCAGAGGACAGGGGTTTCATTTCCAGCCCCTACATGGTAGATCACTGTAACTTCAGTTACAGGGCACCTGATCCTCTCTTTGTGCCTCTGTGAGCACCAGGCATACATGCGGTGCATAGACACAGCTGCATGCAAAAGACAGTACCCCTAGGCTCCAACAAAGTAAAAATGAGTGACTTTAGGAGAAGTCGTATAGTCCTATGAACAAAAGTACACATGGAGCTGTGTGTGTTGTACTTAGCAGCATGTGCTAGAACTTTGGATGTTGTCTTGTAGCATCTACAGCCACTGTTTCTCCCCATTAGTCTCTCATACTATGGGTTTAATGAATGATGCCATCATTTTAATGAACGTAAGTGCTCAGAACATTAACACTGCTTTCAACATGTCTCTAATGTCAGAGGTTCATTTACACTCTCTTATTGCCTTGTTTCTGTAAATATCATTGTAACGAACCTTTTCATCCATGCAGCTCCTGTCATTTCTGTAGAAAAAAATGACTGGCTCAAATGGCATTGATTTTTTTATTTTTTATTTTATGTTTTGAGATTGTAATATCACATCTCCTTATTCCCTTTTCTCCCTCCAAACCTGCTCATATATACTCTTCCTTGCTCTCTTTCAAATTCATGGCCTTTCCCCCCATTAATTGTTATTTCACACATACATGAACACATACATATTTCTAAATACTTAAATAAACCTTGAGATGATTCCCAAGTTATATCTCATTAGAGTGACGTTACTCTTCAAAAACAGAAGCAGTAAGCTGTCTGTTTCTCTACATCCTATCACCACTGGCTATTAGCCTGGGTTTAGGAACCAGGAAGTGGCCATTTCCACAAAGATGTCCCTTACAGAAAGATCTGTGTGCCTACTTGCCAAGCAAGTTTCGCTACAGGCAGCTCTTCACACCTGCACTTAGAAGGCCCTTTCAGACCCTCTATAAATCCGTTTCCCCCAGACGCCCTTCCCAGATGAGCGCCCACCTAACTCCCATTCTCTAACATCTCCTTGTTAATGTGCTGCTTTTAAAGCCCTGGATTCTCACGTGGCATTACATGGGTTTCCTTGTGGAAAAGGAGATAATATGCCTGTGAAGACAGTTACTACAGAGATTAAACAAAGCACCCGAAACAGTGCCTGCCTTGGAGTATTACAAAATATTAGCAGTTATGAAAAATGTTATGACATATATTTTGCATAAATTAGCTCATTACACTCTTTATAGAAAACTGCTTAATGTCATGTTTGCCCAGTTGTAATGCTCCTAAATTATTTCAAATAATAGACATTTGATTTTACTTTTACTTTAAAATATTTATAAACATGTCTATTGTATGCACTAGTAACACCCCACCCTCCCCACACCCTATTCTCTCTTCCCCTTCCCCTTCTGTTTGTTCTCCTAGATACTTTTCCTTGTGCTTTTTATGGGGCCAATGCTTTCATTACTAATATTTATTATGAAGCACAAACAACAGAAACACTCCAAATGAAGATGTTAAGGGTCAATGGCCCTCCCAGTCTTCTAACCACACACTCTTTCTCTGGTGGACTGTGATGCACAAGTGGGCTACAGTCACAGAAGCCAGGCACTAGGACATTCTCCCTGCCCATGCCATTATTCCGGCAGCCCCTCACCCTGCCCAGTCTCACAGCCTGGGCAAGTCCAAGCTCCTGGTGTATCCTGGGAGATGTCTGCTGCCGTTATCTCTCTGCCTCCGCTCTCTGAATCCATCTCAGCTGCAATGGCTTTTGGACCACATCAACTTGGTGTGGAGTGCATCTCATCCAGACAACCACCTACCACCTACAGCAAGCACTTATGAATTCAGTGGTGTTACTGAAAAGTTGGCAATAGTGGAAATTATATCAGAATACACATCTTTGCCCTTCCTCTCCTCCAGCCCTTTCCCTTCTTTACCTCTTTTTGTGAATTGATGTCCCCTCTCCACCACCCACCCCCACCACACCCCACATGATCCAAAACAGGAAAACTTTCCTGGTTCATGCATGGCAGGCAACTGGTCTTTCAAGTGTGAGTGTGTCTCTGGGATTCCCCTATAACTCACAACAGATTTAGCACAACTATGGACTCTCCTAAGAGATGTCATGCTAGAAAGTTCCTCCTGACCTCATTTGTGTGTGTGCTTGTCTGTGCATCCTTCATTCACAAGGACTATACTCTCTGGATTCTCTGCTTCACTTGGTCACCTTTCACACAGGCCTCTCCCAGGGCAACGGGGCTGTGGCTTCTATAAGAATACTTCTGAAAACTGGCTTGGCTTGTGAGACAGGCTGTCCTTTGTAGAAAAGCGATCCCACCTTCTCACTTGACAAGGAGCAAAGAGATAAGCTCCAGTTCACATTACAATTAGACTTTTATCTGAACAGAAAGTGATTTGTGAGTCTGTAGCTCCAGCCTGGACGTGGTTGGGATTCCACTGTGGGAGTTCAGGGGAAACCTTTCCCAGGGAGAGGTTGGGGCATTCTGCTAGTTCCTCCACTCCTTCTAGGAAGTCTGAGATGACATAAGCAACAAGACACTGGTGGCTAAAGGCGCAAACTTCAGGACCTTTCTTTACGTCGGGGATGGCAGCACACCGGGAAGAGAGTCCATGGAGAGGAATCCCAGGGCTCTCAGATGCAGGGTTGTGTCTTACCCCTACATGTATGCGACTGCCTAGACCTGAGGCCTCACATCTACTTTTAGTGGTTTTTACCTAATAGGAAAGTGGAACTAAAAGGTTATAGTTCCGTGTTCCAAACTGCCTTGTTGGTCATGAACTATGTATACTGCAGTGGATAACTGGATAGTCCAGGAAAGAGAAAAGAAAGGAAGGGGAGAGAGAGGGAAGAAAGACAGAGGGAAGATAGAAGAGAAGGGGAGAAAGAGAAGAAAGATGGGAAAAGGGAAGAAAGGAAGCGAAGGAGGAAGGAAGGGAGGGAGAAAGGGGAAGAGGAGGAGAAGGTGGACAGAAGCGAGGAGAAGGGGAAATTCAGGGAAAGGGGGAGGGAAGGGAAGTAAAAAGGGAAGGAGGAACAGAGAGTTGACTGACCTCAGGCAGCTAGGCTGACCTTGGCCATCAGCAGGTGGTAGATACTTTCGGCCCACTGGCCAGGGCCACCAGCTGGCTCCTGTGTGCCCCCTCATAAAGCACTCATAGTGAGCTTAGTAGCCTAAGCAGAAGAGCAGGTCAACTCCAAATCTGATAGGCTGAGCATTCACCTCACATGACCTCCAGTGCAGGCTTTGCAGCTTGTTTTTGGACAGCCACAGCCAGAAGCTTTCCCAGCAGAGAAACCTCTGGAGGGTCAGGGCCTTGGAGTATTCTGCGAAGAACTTGTATTCTGCAGGGGAAGTGGGAACACTGGCCATATGCTGTTCTCCGTGGCAGCAAAGAAAGTGTTCTAATTAATTGTAAATTACAGCAGTTGTGCTTGAAATCAACACGCCCACTCTCCAAAGCCCAGGAACAGGGTGTTATTTCCCCAAGAAACAAAGCAAAGGAAATTTATACCACAGCTACTTTGGTGATTTGGAGTGTGTTTTATAAGGTGCTTTCTAACTTGGTGTCACCCTTTCTCTTTGGCCTCCTCCGGCAGTAGCTGGCGCTGTGATGTCCACGGGGTGAGATGATTTGAAGCCCTACTCTATCTACTGCCAAGTCCTTCTGCAGAGACTGGTGTGACACTTGTCTAGTTTCCCAGACTAACCCCAGGAAAAAGAGAATTTTTCAAATCTGTGCAGTCGGGAGGCCCGGAGGGCACAAGTGTGACTGTCAACACATTGTTGAGTGGGTGCCTGGCCATCCTGAAAGTTACCCAGCCACATCTATCTTTCTCTTTTGCATCTTCACATCCTCAGTTCATTGGCTAAAGAAAGGGATGGAGAGCTCAGCTCTGTTTTATACCTATTCAAATGCTTTCTTAGGGAACCAATAGAACCGTTCCTGACCTTTTGTGCACCAGCCTCCTTGTAGCCCTATGAATTTGGGGAGAATGCTACATTGTGGACCTGGATAGCTCCACTAAAGGAGTTTGCATGGTCAGGAGTCTCCTTAGCACTGACCAACTCTGCAATTTAATGATTGATTTAGAGATCATGTTTACTTGAAGTCTCTGTCTTGGTGAGTGAGGGTTGTTTGCATTGGACTTTCCATGTTTTCATAGTCCTTGAGGGGACACAGAGCTATTCATTCCACTTTACCTGACTCCAAAACTCATTTGTACCAAGGAAACTGGCATGTCATGGAAACCATGATTCCTATCATTCTGTTGTGTTTTAAAAACATCTTAAGTAGCAGCATCCCCTCCCGGCACTGTTGCTGAAAAGATTCTGAAAAGATCCTAGTTCATTTTACTTGCAATCAGACTTACCCATATGGGAAGATTCACTCTCAAGAGAGCTTCCATGTAAATCTTCGATTAAAAAAATATGAAAAACCATAATTAGGGGATTTTCATGCACCTTTTAAATGCTAGATAATTTAATAAAGTCATTACATTAAATGCTGAAAACAAAAAAATAAAATTAACGATAATTGGTGATGAGCTAGCCACATCTGTCTTTGCTTTCCAGGTTTCTCACATCAAAACACCCAAGCAAATGGATGAATTCATTGAGATCCAGAGTTCAACCGGAACTTGGTACCAGCGCTGGCTGGTCAGGTTCATGACCATTTTCAAGCAGGTATGACCTGTGAACACATATTTGGAGGGGAGCCTGGCTACACGGGAGTCTGTTATTTCAGTGGGTGAAGAAGAAAGATGACACAAACATCCCTAAACTAAGGCAGCATATGGAGAGGAGGCAGCCCGAGGAAGGTGTCTGCTTCATGCAGGGCCACCTCTCAACTTGCCCTGTGCCTAGAGACGTGAGTGCTTTGAACCTCAGTGTCTTTGCCTCACTGTTCTTTCTCAAGGCCAAGGCTTTGATAGTCTTCACAAGCATCCTTCTCTCCAGTAACTCCTCCTTAAGTAATCCACAGCAAGGAAGATGTGACAAAAAGAAATGACTCTGGGATTTTAAGTGACTTTGGGAAGGAATCATAACCAGTGATTCCATTTCTCCAGGGGTCTTTCAGGGAAGGACCAAGCCAGCTGTTGAGTGGGGCAGCAGGTTAGCTTCTGCTGAGACTCAGTGGGTTCATGCTTTATGGTCAATAAATATTTCAAGTGTCACCCTGCCCACGGCTCTCACGGGAGGGCAGGGGAGGTGTAGAAGTGACTAATACAGGTTATTCAATGCTTTGGAACCCAAACTTGGTGTGCTTTTGCTCACATTAACCCAAATTCCATGTTCCCTGTGGAGGGCTGTTGATGTTCAAGGCTGACAGGAAAGAAGGGGTGGACTTGCCTTGTTATGTAGACAAGGCTTCTTCCTTTGGGAGAGGGTGGGCTGCCCCTTTCTCCTGTGATGTCCTAGCCATTTTATTAGCAAATCAGAGGAATGTGCTCTCCCTGTCACCTGTCCCTTCCTTTAACTGTCCTTCTCTGCTGTGGCTTAGGTCTGGGATAATGCCCTGTACTGTGTGATGGGGCCCTACAGAATGAATACCCTGATTCTGGCTGTGGTGTGGTTCACCATGGCATTAAGGTAAGTTCCATCTCATACCAGTCCCTCTGCAGCCTGGCTTATAGATTGAGTATTATAACTTGGCCTAGTGCAGTTGGCATCACAAGTGGATGTTTTGGGCTGCAAGTCATGAGCAGCTCCATCTAGGGGCTTCTGTGAACAGAAACCTCTCTTATGCCAATAAGAATCCTTAGGGCAGTCAGGAGGAGAAGGCCTTCCAGCCTCAGGCTAGTCTTGCTGTGATTTCAAAGTGCCTTCAGGTTTCTTCTGGACAAAACAAGTGTCTGAAGGAAGGAGAGCTTGACTCTTCTGAGTTTTCTCTTCCCTCCACACTGAGGTATAGCTGACATATAGAAAATAGTTATGTTTATGGTATACAATGGAATTCTTCATTTTTATGAAATAAAAATGCTAATGGTAATGTGTGCATCACTTCAATACCATCATCACCATCATCTTCTTCTCCTTTTCTTCTTTCTCTTCCTCTTTCTCCTCCACACTTAACAGCATAGGTCCCCCCTTATTTCAAGTAAGCACTGATTGATGATTGTGAACTGGTTGCTACTGTTAGCTATAATTGTTAATTATGGAGCTTCTGTCCCTGCCCCCTGCCCTGTCCCTGCCCCATGGTACTTTTCTCAGAAGCCCCTGAGCCAATGTTTCCCATTTTTGCAGTAGCCAGATGGCAGTCCTTTCCTGTTACTGGCTAAGGAAGTGAGATTGGCCTGTCAGTTTTTACTCACTTGGATTTACCCTCAAGCTGAAGTTGCCTGTTCTTTCCTGAAACTTGAGTCTGAATAAAGTTTCAGTTCCTGCCATACTGTGCCCAACAATACAGAAAAAAATACAATAAGCCAGAGCTGGCTCTAGCCTTAAACTGCAGGCTGGTACCCCGGACACCTCTTAGCTTCAGATAGCATCACCTTGCTTCCTAGGTGGGTTCTGGAGGGTACATGTGGCACCCAGAGGCCATTCAGCTGTGCACACAAAGGGCATCTGGTACACAAGTGCTCGTTGGCAAAGACTGTAAACTTAGATCCATGACATTGCTTTGTTCTACAGCCTACAACCCCCAAGCAACCCCTTCACTCCATAAAAGCAAGTGGACTCTAGTGCTGTCTTTGATTATGAGGTGAATATGGACACATCTAATGTCATTCAGTACCTGGATGGAAGGGATGGAAATCAGCCCTTCCAGACTCAAACCTACTGAATATAGAGGAAGACTGACATGCCTTTTTTATTCAGTTCCAGTATTTCAGAAGACAAATACAGTACTCACTAAGATCCAATTCACTGGCTATTTTAAAAGGGGGCATTATTTATATTTATTTACTTGGAATTTAACTTCCTTGAATAGGTAGTACATTCCAAATGTTGGAACATTAGGGAAATCTCCATTCCATCCTCTTCCACCCACTCCCTTCTGCCTCCACTATATAATCATCTTTTACTTCCTGTTTATCACTCCAGTGTTTCTTTAGAAGAAACAGACAGATGTAAGAAAAATGTATACAGATACCCATAGATGTTTCCAAATGTCTATGTATACATGTGGGTGTTTCCCAAGATGCATGTACATATGTAGATATTTCCTGAGGTCTATGTATATATGTAGATGCTTTCCAACATCTACGTATATATGCAGCCATTTCCAAGGTCTGTGTATGCATGCAGCCATTTTCAAGGTCTGTGTATGCATGTAGCCATTTCCCAAGGTCTGTGTATGCATGTAGCCATTTCCCAAGGTCTGTGTATGCATGTAGCCATTTCCCAAGGTCTGTGCATACATGTAGCCATTTCCCAAGGTCTGTGTATATATGTAGATGTTCCCATAGTATATGGTATATGTACATGTGCAGCTGTTTCCCATGGTCTATGTACGCATGTGGCTACTTCTCAAGTTCTATTTCTAAATGCAGATGTTTCTTTCTCCTTTTCTTATTTGAAGGAAAGCATTTTGCATTTGCTCATATTCAATTATACATTCTGAATGTCAGTCCACACCAAAAAACTATGGTTTTGTTTACTTGCTTCCCTCCCTCCTTCCCTCTATCTCTTCTTCCTTATATCCTTCTTTCCTTCCTTCCTTGTTTTGAGATGGGATTCATGTAGTCCAGGCTGACTGGAAATTCACTACGTAGCTGAGGCTGTCCTTGAACTCCTGATCTTCCTGCCTCTACCTCCTAAGTGCTAGAATTACAGGTGTGCTACCTCACCTGGTCCTTCCTTCTTTGCAGTGGAATAATGTCTGGGTAGTAGCTCACACTATCCCATCATCCCTCATTAACCAAGGCTTTCTTTCTAGACTCCTGTGAGTTTCCAGATTTTTGCTATTGAACACACTGCCACAATGTCTAGTCTTATGTGCAGGATATTTTGCACTGGGGCTGTTTTGACAGTGAACTAGATTTATGGAAGAGTGATTCAGGGTCAAAAGTGATAATGTCATCAGAAACATTTTTAAGCACTAGCAAGCTCTCCTCCATACATATGTGCATTTCTTGACATCAATAGAATGGAGCATCTTTTCTGTTAGTCTAGTGTTTCTATTGCTTTGAGTTGATATCTTAGGGTTTAAGGTGTAAACCATAGTATTCAAAAGGAGAACTAGTTTTACAATTTTTTATTTCCATGTGAGTGTATTTTGCCAGATATTGAAAGCTGAGTGTCTTCCCAGATTGTTCCCACTTTATTTGCCAAGGCAGGGTGTCACATAACATGGATCTTGCTGATCTGTCTAGTCTAGCTAGTCAGCTTGCCCTAGGAATTCCCAGTCTTTACCTCTCCAGATGGGCCATCTTGTCTACCCAGCCTTTATGCTGCTGCTAGGGATCCTGAACACCCATGGCGAGGATTTTATCTACTGAACTATTTGTTCAGCCCCCATTCTTGATTCTTTCTCTCATCTGACCAGGTTGCATAAGAGCAGCTAAGTGGTGATGAGCATGTTGTCTTGCTCCTCACACTAGTGGGAACATCTTTAGTATGTCCCTTTTTACTACAGTCCTGGCTTTTGAGCTAAAATGTGTTTTATGTAGGTTAAGGAAGGTTCTGCCAGTCTCTAATCTATTGGTAGTTGTTCTTTTTTTTTAAATAACAAATGAGCTTTTTAATCAAATGAATTTCAGAATACCATTTCTTCCATCTCTTAGATGTGTTAATGTGATGAATTTTGTATTCAATTTTCTAATTAATGAGGAACCAAATTACTACATTAAGTCTGATCTACATTAAGTCATGGATGCAGAATGGGCCCTGGAGCTTCTCAGACCTTCTGCCTTCTCTCTTGCAGTTACTATGGCCTGACTGTGTGGTTCCCTGATATGATCCGGTATTTCCAGGATGAAGAATATAAATCTAAAATGAAGGTGTTTTTCGGTGAGCATGTACATGGTGCCACAATCAACTTCACGATGGAAAACCAGATCCACCAACATGGGAAGCTTGTGAATGATAAGTAAGTGTGTGATCATGGGCTTTCCTTGGGCCTGAGTGACAGTCACTGGAGCTTCCCTTGGGAGAGAGCACTGGGAAGATGAGAGTTTGATGTGCTAGGATGAGCTCCAAGGATAAGTGGTCCTCACAACCCATCCTGGCCATTAGAGACACTACAGCCCCCGATGGCTGGATCTGTATTGCACTGACTCCCAGGTTCCCCTCATCCCCTGGCTATGAGATGGCATGACATTTGGTGGAGGGTGACCAATCTGGCCATCTTTCCTGAGAACACGATCTTCTGATGGAAGGAAACAGAAAGCCACATCCCATCATGGTGCCATGCTATCCACTAGGTGGGGCATGCCCTCCTCTGAGCTCGAGCTGTGCTTAGCAAGCTCCCAGAGTGGCTGACAATTGTGTGAGTGACCATGAGCTATGCAATTTGCACCAGGAAGTGATTGACCCACAGTTTTTAGTGCCGAGGTCTCTGAAACAGTCTGTGGCCTGGTTGTTGAGCCTTTTCTTTGATTCTGGAAGCTTCTCTGTGCAAGGCTATTACAGAGCTACCTTTTTGTTATTCTTCATATATCGTTACTTCAGAAGGTGGACCAATATGCTGCATGGTCAGTGGGAGTCTTGTCCCTAGGGGAGGAATCAGTGGAGTTTTAGACAGTTTCTGTCTACATCTTTATGAGGATGCTTCCTCAGTCCATTGGACTCATCTCTGTAGTCCTTGGACAAATTAAGTGGATAGTTTAGCCACTGGTTTGCCTCTCTGGGGCTGCCCTCTGGAGGTGAAGTGGTAGATACAGGTGGGGCATTAGATAAGCCTGCTCCAGCCATGTTGTTCTTCATGCTGAATATGGGCACTTTGAAGTTTGCTTTCTGGAACTGTACCCAGCAATGCCACTGAGTTAAGTGGTGTGCAGAATTATGTGGAATTGCTGGAGATGCCTAGGCCTAGACACATCACTGTCAATGCCGTAAACTCCCTATTCATCATCTTAATACAACATTGGCAGCACCACAATCACTAGAGTACATAAATTATCACTGGAGTACATAATTTCCCCTCTGAAACCTATTCAGCTCTTAAGTGTTTGTCTTCCTGGACTGATTGGAAAGCACACCAAGCTTCTTGTCCTGTGTTATGCTTCCATCTGCTGGTCAGGAAGTGACAGTGCCTTTTCCTTCAAAGCCCCAAGCGGTTCCTCCCCAGCATCTAACTTTTGTGGCAGTTTTTTCTCCCCTGTGACATCATGTGCACACCACCAATTTAAAATTTAGATGACTGTAATTTATTTTATCAACTAAGACACACAGAAGAAATGACTCTGTGTAGACATGGCCTTACACTTCCTCCATATGTTGTAGGTCCCACTGAAAGCTACCCCTTATCCTACTGAGAAACCTATCTGCTTGGCCTCAGGAAGAAATGAAAATGCACAGATTAGTTTGGGCCCCACCCAAGGTATTGGCCACTGCCTCCTGGTGCATCTTATGGGCTATGGTGCCTCTGCATTCCAACAGGAAGTTTACCTCAGAGTCTGTGAGCTTTCCAAAGTGCAAGAAAGGCAAGGGTTAAGTTCATATTTTACACTCTTAGACAAAAATGCCAGGCCAGGTTACCCTTATTAATAATTAAGAGCCAGATCAACTCCCATCTGAATATGTGTTAGCTAAGTAGCTGACTAATTAATGTGCCTCCTGCTAGGAAGAAGTGATTTGGCATTGGCTTGTGAGAGAGGTAAGCTTGGGGAAGGGCACCAGCGAGAGCTACCCGACCCCTGTCTGTGATAGGTCAGGGCCCTGGAACCAGTGTTCTGAACCCCATCTTTCCTCACAGCACAAGAGAAGTTGATGCTGTGCTCTGAACACTTGGGGTTAGACCATTCACTAAGGCGATTTGCCAGAGAGAAGGATAAAGGCTTTCTTATTACAGTCATCCAAAGTCAACAGGGCTTTCATTAAAGGTCAGCTGTGAGTAGCTCTGAGTGAAAATGAGGCATGTGAGATTTACCTGTAAATGAGGCAGAGAGCATGGCAGGAAGCAGGGAGAGCAGAGGGAGAGGGCAAAGCCATGAAATGAGCAGAGACTTATTGCAGGCATCACATCAAAGGTCACCATGCTGTCAGGGCCCCTACTAGGAGCACATAATTAACACCCAGTGTGGCTAATTTCAGTACAGTAAAGCCCATTACAAATGCCAACAGTAGGTGGTGAGTCCAGGCACATGCCAGAATGTACTGGGCTGTCCAGTCTCACAGCTCACATTTGAAGGTTACACAGTTCAGATATGGACCACATATGAAATTATGTGGCAAGATTTCTCAGTACAGTCTCTAGCTGTATGTGAGTTCTGCGTAGTTCTCCTGAGAATCCTTCTGGATACTTCGTATTTTGGATGGGTACTGAAAATAAGATTGTTTTCTCCCAATAAAAGGTTTGCACACATTCTAAACATACGAATCCCATTGATTATCGTGTACCTAATGTTTTCCTCGTTATTAGTTTTGTAATCCTATCACCTTTGAATAACTACTGCTTTGTTTTCTTTTTCTTTTTTATTGTGCGATAGTCTGTACTTTGAGAGACTAGTGACTAATACACACAACATTATTCGGGCAGTTAACTTTATAAACCAATAGCCTCTAGGTCATTAACGTAGGTTTTATGTGCTCAGTTTGTTAACCCAGCTTCCTTCTGGTGACAGGAAGCCACTTCAGCCCCTCACATGCTAGGCCTGTGCTTTTCCATAACCCCAGATCCTTGGGTTGAATTCTTGGCACTATTCCTGTTTCTCTCCAGAGGAAATGCTCACCATTGTCAGAAGTTGGTGCTCTATATTCATGTATGCTTTTGTGTTTTTTCCATGTTTCTATATCTATAAGCATTGCACAATTGGCTTTTATATGTGTTGAGTTTGGGGTAAATATACTATGTGATATGTGTCTATATTAATTGCTATTATTATTGGCTTTTCCAGACAGAGCCATATGTAGCCCAGGCTGGCCTCAAACTTGCCATGTAGTTGAAGATGTCTGAGTTCCTGGTTCTCCTGATCTCATTCCCCACTAGGATTTCAATTGTATATTAACCATACCTAGCGGTGTACATGCTAATTGTTATACAACTTGTCTTTGTTGGGACCCAGATCTTTAAAAATTCATTTATTCTGGGACAATTTCACTTATGTATAAGATACATTCTAGGAACATTCATACCCATCCTCTCTTACCCCCTTTCAACCCCATCAACATCACCCTCCTACCAAGTCTCTAATTTACATTCATGTCCTTTCGTTTTGTTTTGTTTTTGTTTTGTGACTCACTGGATTTAGCCCAGATATAGGTGCAAAGCTATCCATGGAAGTGTGATGACTCACAGTAGCCATGCCACTAAGGACAATGACTTCCTGTCACCCACAGTCATCTGTAGTTGGTCACTTTTATTCTTTTCTCTTTTGGGGACCCGCCATCCAGCTCCCAAATAAATACTTGGAGACTTATTCTTTATTATGAATGCCCAGCCTTAGTTTGGCTTGTTTCTAGCCAGCTTTTCTTAACTTAAATTAACCCATCTACCTTTTGCCTCTGGGCTTTTACCTTTTCCTATTTCTGTATATCTTTTCTTTACTTCTTACTCCGTGTTTGGCTATGTGGCTGATCCCCAGTGTCCTCCTTCTCTGCCTTCTCTTGCTCCTCTATCTTTCTACTCTTCTCCTATTTATTCTCTATGTCTGCCAGCCCTGCCTCTCCTTGCTCCTGCCTTGCTATTGGCTGTTCGGCTCTTTATTAGGACCATCAGGTGTTTTAGGCAGGCAAAGTAACACAGCTTCACAGAGTTAAACAAATGCAACATAAAAGAATGCAGCACATCTTTGGATCATTAAGACAAATGTTCCACAGCATAAGCAAATGTAACACATCTTCAACTAATATTATACATCAGTCATCAACTGCCAACAGCTCCCCCGGGCAGAGCTGGGTTCCGTGGGCCTCTTTCCTGTCTATGACTATGTGCTCACTCTGCAGCTATGGTGATGTTAACATAGCTTAACTCATTCACTTCAATTTGAAGTCTATTACATGCGTATTCTATGATGTATTTTTCTGTTCTCCTTTTTGGTGGACATTTAGGTTACAATTGTTCACCATTACAATATTGCTGCTAAAGTAGTCTTTTTTTTTATTCTTACCAGCCCCTTCTCCCCTTCCCCCTCCACTCCCCATAGAGGGTAGGGCCCTCCACAGGGGCTCCCCAAATTCCACCACATCATCCTGAGCCGGGCCTAGGTCCTCCCCCATGTGTCCAGGCCGAGAGAGCATCCCTTTACATGGGATGGGCTCTCAAAGTCCCTTCTTATACCAGGGAAAAATACTGTTCCAGTACCAGAGGCCCCATAGAGTGCTGAAGCCTCCTCGTTGACATCCACTTTCAGGGGTCTGGATCAGTCCCATGATGGCCTCCCAGACAGCAGACTGGGGGCCATGTGCTCCCCCTTGTTCAGGTCAGCTGTTTCTGTGGGATTCACCAGCCTGGTCCCAACCCCCTTGATCATCATTACTCCCTCTCTGCAACTGGGTTCCAGAGTTCAGTTCAGTGTATGTCTGTGGGTGTCTGCCTCTGCTTCCATCAGCCACTGGATGAGGGCTCTAGGATGGCATATAAAGTAGTCATTAGTCTCATTATAGGTGAAGGACATTTAGGGTAGCCTCTCCACCATTTGGTTAGTGTTACCCCCAAGATATTTTATATTGTTTATGGATATTGTGAAGGGTGATGTTTCTCTGATTTCTTTCTCATTCTGTTTATCATCTGTATATAGTAGGGCTAGTGATTTTTTGAGTTAATTTTGTATCCTGCTACTTTGCTGAAGGTCTTTATCAACTGTAGGAGTTCCCTGGTAGAGTTTTTCGGGTCAGTTATGTAGACTATCAATCATTACTCCCTTTCTGCAACTGGCTTCCAGAGTTCAGTTCAGTGTATATCTGTGGTGTCTGCCTCTGCTTCCATCAGCCA